AAGGCAGAGTGGGAGGGGAATGGATGAAGAAAGAGGAGCTAAGAGCATGGACCCACTCCCCACATAAGTGCAACCATTGTGGGCTGAGGTCATTACTAACACAGCATTTTTCAATGTTCAAGAAAAGCACCTATTTTTTGGTTCCAGGGATCAAACTCATGACCTTGTGCTTACCAGGCAGGCACTTGTACCACTGAGCTAAACCCACGGCCCTATAAATTTTTTTAAAATAAGAGTAAAGGACTTAAACTATCTATTTTTCTTTGCATTTTCAATCAATCACCTATCATGCTAGAAATTTTTTCTTAAAATGCGGTGTTGGAATGACAGGGACCCTGTGCTTCTCACTGTTGCTGGAGGGACAAGGTTCAAGGCCAGCTTCCCAGCAGCACGTCTGGCCACATACATGAGAGTAACAAAACTTTGTTTTGTGAACATCTGGATTACAAGAAAAACAAAAGCTTGTCACTGCGCACAGCCTGTCCCCTCTTTTCTTTCTCTCTTTTTTTTGAGGGGGGGAGTTCTGGGGATTGAACTCATGACATTGCACTCACCAAGCAGACACTTATGTCACTGGGCTGAACCCCAGCACTCTCTATCCTCATTTCCAGCCCCTTGTCCTGCACTCACAAGCAGCCACTTGTGCAAGATTGGGCCAGTCTTATCCAAATAAGCAGACTGTTTAACCTTATCTGAGTGTCATCTGACTCTCAAAACACCCCAGAGAGAAGCAGGACTACTTTGGTCTCTGCTCCTGTCTGAGAATCTGGGCAGAGCTCTCCAGGGTCAAATTCCTCATCTGAGGTCACCAATAAATTATGGCAGAGAAGCAACCAAAAGCCACTCACTTTAGAGCAATAAATTTCAAAATGTCTTTTTTTTTGAGTCAGGACCTCAGAATGTACTCTAGTCTAATCTAGAAATTGCCCTGTCACACAGGCTGTCCCTGAGCTTGTGTTCACCTGTCTCAGCCTGCTGTGTGCTAGAATGACAGCTATGCATTTCACACTGGTTGGAAACATACTTCTTTAAACAAAATATGCAAGATCTGTGATCTAAGATACTGAACATACCTAGATGACTGCCTGTGAGTAACCGTAAAACCAGAGATTAAAAAGTGTCAGGGGGGGCTGGGGATTTAGTTCAGTGGCATAAGCGCCTGCCTTGCAAGCAGGCAGTTGTGAGTTCGATCCCTGGTACCGATAAAAAGGAAAAAGGCAAAAAAAAAAAGTGTCAGTGAAGACCAAGGAAAAGGGATCCTCACACTTTGTTGCTGGGAATATAAAACTGCAGAGTCACTTTGGAAACCACACTGGCAGATCCTCAATATAAATACAGTCATGCCACAGCCCCAAAATTCTATCTTAGGTTTATATCCAAACTGAAGACATATTTTCTACACAAAACCTGAATATGAATTTGAGCCTATCATCAGCAGCATTACTGACAACAGCCCCAAAGTGGAAACAACCCAAACAAATCTTCAGCAATTCATAAAATGTTTCATTAAAAATGCTATACTACCATGAGTAGGCGTGCAGTGTTACTAGGTGTCATAGCGCGAGCCTAGAGTCCCAGCCATTTGGGAAGCTGAGGAAGGGGCTGACCTAAGGCAGGACTCCATCTCAAAATAAAAGTTAAACAGGGCTGTTATGGATTTAAAACGAGTGGTCAGCTTAACACCAGCTGAACTAAATCAGCGTGGTGCTGAGTGCAGATGGCCACCTGAGAAAAAAAGAGCACAGCACTGTGAGCTCTCCTGTGCTGCAGTTGGGAGCAATTGTTCTCCTGGAGGAGCCTGTCATGCAGGCTTCCCCATATGAATCCAGCCACAGTCAGCAGGGGAGCTTGGGACCTTGTCACTGAGAGTGGCTGCGGTTCAGTTTGGGGGAGCTCTGGACCCTACACTGTGCATCACTGCCTGGGTCCAGAGGGGAAGATGTGTGTTTAATCTCCAGGAGAGCTGGCTTTCTGATATGAACTCAACTGTTCTCATCATCAGAGGACCTAAGGACCTCATTGTCACTGAGGAGGACTGGGGTGCTTCTGGGGGAGCCCTGGTCCTTGTTTTAAGCATTGCTTCTTAACTCACATGTAGAACCCTCAGCTTACTGGCACAGATCCTTCACGGCACTGGCATAGTTTCTGGCTTCCACTGCTGACCTTGGGAGCTTCCTGGTGTAGATCCATGAAACAGACTTCCATGAGACACTGTCATGGGCTCTAGGTCTTCAGCTGGACACATTCAGGATACTGCCATGGGATTCCAGGCCTTGGCTCGATTTTCTAGGTCTTTAGTGTTTTGGACAGATTCCTGGCCCTTTCTTGTATTTAATTCTGGGTGACCATCATGAAATAATATAAATTCTGTGTCCTGTATGTAATCGTTCTCCTTGCAATCCCTGACTACAAGGGCTGGGGGCCAGGTTGGTGATACATGCTTGTAATCCCAGTAATGAGGGAGGACAAAGCAAGAAGACCACAAGTTCCAGGCCTACCACAGATATTTAGCAAGGCCATGTCTCAAAAAATAAAAGGGAAAAATATTGGGATACTATTTAATAGTCGAGTGTCCTTAGATTAAATCCCCAGTATTGTCAAAAATATTTTTGGAGCCAGTTGTGGTGGCACATGCCAGTAATACCGGCATACAGGAGGCTGAGGCAGGAAGATCATTGCAAGTTTGAGACCACCTTGGACTACAAAGTGAACTCAAGGCCAGCCTGATCTGCAGAGTGAGACCCTTTCTCAAAAAGAAAAAACAATTTTTTTTTCTGAAGAAGGAATGTAGTACTTACTCACTCATGCCCTGAGACACATGAATCTTGAGAAGAGTTTACCATTGAAGAAGCCAGACACAAAAGATCTACTCTATGAGCAATTGATATGAAATGTTTAGTGATCAAATCCATAGAGACACAAAGTAAAATAACAGCTTCTAAGAGGTGGAGGTTAGGAGGGGCTGGCATTTCTTCCAGTGTAAAGAAAATGCTTTGCAATGCTCAAGGTCATGATGTACAGTTCAGTAACCATAATTAAAAAATGGTCAAAATTATACTATAAATCTACTGTGATAACAGAGCATGGTATTGACTAAAAACAGACCTGAAGATTAATGGAACAGATTAGAAGAAACCAAAACAGAGAGACTAAGCCAACTTATCATTTAGAAATGGACCAAACTCATTCACTGGAAGAAAGACAGCCTCCTTAATAAAATAAAAGGTGCTGGAAAAACTGGCTCAGCACATGCTGAAGATTAAAAATGGACCCATGTCTTTCACTGTGCACTAAGCTAAAACCAGAGTAGATCAAAGATCTTAATATTAAAACAGAAACATTAAATCTGCTGGTAGACAAAGTAAGTAAAAGCCTTAAACACTGTGGTGCAGGTAGACTTTATGAACAAAACAACAATTGCACAGGAACTACCAAAAAGAATCAACAACTGGGATCTCTATTACAAAGTTTCATTCTATTACAAAGTTTTTGCACAGCAGGAGAAACCACCAACAGAGTGAAGAGATTTTCTCCCATGATATGGGAGAAAATGCTTGCCAGGTATAGCTCAGACAAAGGATGACCACTGAGAACATAGAACAACAACAACAAAAAAATCCATCCTCCTATATGTAAAGACCCAATCCAAGAATAGGGATCTGAGATGAATACACACTTCTCAGGTGAAGAAATAGAAACAACAAAAAAATATATATATGATGAAATGTTCAACATCATGAGTCATTTCAGACATATAAATTAAAAAAAACACTGTGATTCCACCTCACCCCAGAAATAATGGCTATTATCAAGAAATCAAGCAATGACAAATGCTGGAGGGGTGGTGGGGAAAAAGGAACCCTTCTCCACTGTTGGTGGGAATGCAGACTGGCACAACCACTGTGAAAATCAGTGTGGAGAATCCTCAAAAAATTAGGACTACAGGTACCACTGGACCCAGCTATTCCCCTTCTGAGTATCTTTCCAAAAGAATTAAAAACATCATATCACATTGATATATGTGCACCCATGTTTACAGCAGCACAATTTGTAATAGCTAGAACTTGGACACAATCTAAATGCTCACTGACTGAGGAATGGATAAAAAAAGTTGTGGTGCTTTTACACACTGAGTACTATTCAGACATAAAGAAGAATAAACTAGAGCCTTTTAAAGGTAAATGGATGTAATTTGAGGCCACACTCCTAAGTAAACTAAATTAAGACTCATATGTAAACACTGCATACACTGTATTGTCTCACTACTGTGAGCTGAAAAAAACAACATCTATGTGTGTGTGTGTGTGTGTGTGTGTGTGTGTGTGTGTAGTTAAGATACTTACAGTGCTGATTTCTCTGAGCGCATTAAAGAGAAAGATCTGTGCTGGCATTGTTTGGACAATTGAATGTAGATATCTTGTGCTCTAGGTTAATGAATTGGGGATCACAATGCACAATATATGTCCATTGTTTCCCTGATTGATGCATTTTGAATTTTTTTTCTCTTTAAAATAAAATGGATTAAAAATAAAATAAATTGAATTTTTAAAAAAGTAACCAGTGTGTATTTTCGAATGGAAAATGTTGAACATGTTATGCTGTATGAATTATTTCCCATCCCCAAAATTATTTCACTCCAGAAATAAAAAGCCATTCAGACAGAGGCCCTAGACCCATGCTTATGCTTTATCAGAACCTCAACATCTCTGAAACTCCCCCAGCCTGTATTCATGGTGGACAACTGAATCCTCCCCTTACTCAATCATGGCCTTGCAGTGAAGGAAGGTTCCTAACCCAACTCCAGTCCCTAGTGCAGAGCATGCAACATTTCAAGCTGCTGTACTGCTAATTTCCAGGGATGATGATGCAGTAGAGAGGCCTGGATAAATTTCTGGCCAGGTGCATGCTGAGCTGCTAGCAGCAAGGCTCACACAAGTGGGACACACAGGCCAGACCCATGCTGGTACAGAGCTGCTACAGGACGGCAGTTGGCAACTCACCTCTCCCCACCTCTGGCTTCTCTTTTATGGATGGAAACCCTGGTGTTCACAAGTGGACTATGCAGCCTGGAAAACAGGAAATACAAGCCTTTATCTGATGAATGCAAACCATCCTGCTCTTCATTCACAAACATGCAATTCATTCACTCAGCATCTGGTAGGACAGTACAGAAAACACTAATTTCCTATATTTTTGGAGTTCACACTATGGTTAGGGAGATAAACTATAAACAAGATGATATAATATTGTGTTCAGTTTTACAAATGAAATAAAAGGTGGCGTAACAGTCAGAGACAAGATGCCATGGCATAAGTGTCTGCCTGGCAAGTACAAGGCTGTGAGTTCAATTCCCAGTACCCCAAAATAAATAAATAAATAAAGTATGAGAGACAGAGGCTGGAAGAGGCAGAGAATATTTTTATTAAGGGCTGTCAGGCTTTTTCAAGGCAACACAACAGAAATGATTAGAGATAGGGATCAAGCTAGAGAGAACAGCATTTCCTACAGTAGAGGGAGCTATGATCCCAGGCAACTGACATGGAAATGCATACTCTCCTGAGAGCAGGGTCCCTAAATACAATGAGCACACAGCAGTGGCCATGGACGTGCCAAAGGCAGAAGGTGGCAACACTGAGGACCCTGTGCTCAACTGAACCGAACAAACCAGGGACAAACGGAGGTGTAGGTGTGCAGAAGAGGGAGTAAGAGGAAGATTTCAGGCAGGAATCCCAGGGTGGCCTGTCACAGCAGTTAACTAGGACATCTGCTGTGCTGCCCTTTCTGGTGGCTGCTGCTGCCCTCACCAACAAGGCTGAAATCTTCATCAAGTGCACTGCCCCTGAATTCACCACAGCTCAACACACTGAGAGCTATACTTTCTGTCTGTGGAATAGCATTTTCAAAGCACTCCCCTTTATTACCATGGTATCTGCTGTATCCTCAATATGCTTTTACTAAAATGTTTAATGAAACCCAAAACAATTAAATATCATTCTATCTTGAAATTTGGAAGAAGCAACACAGGTTCGTTCAGCCTGTCTGAACCCCCCCCACACACACACACAAACTTACAGCTGAAGCCTTAAAGGCCTATCTTCAGGTTTCCATTAGTGACTCTACCCAAGTTGTACATTTCTGTGTCTGCCTTTGACTGAGTTGTCAGAATCCAATTCCTCAGTCTTTGCAAACAGCACTCCAAGTCAGTCTGCCATTGGTGATCCAGACCTGAGGAAAGCAAGCAGAAGGACTTTGGAGATGCCTCTCACCTCTAATGCTGTTGGCAATTTCCAGGTGCTCCCGCTATTTCAGAACAAGCATGCAAAGAGCTTTACTCTGCAGGAGACAAGCCACATGAACACAGGACGTGACTCCCCCTAATCTTCAGGGGCAATGACCTTCCTGGGAGACAGATGAGTGGGGCAGGGTTGGAAGAAGGACTACCAACAGCACTGAGCTCAGCCTGTATCATAGCACAATGGGTTCTTCAAGAAACCAGGGATCTCATCTTTTGACAAGCTATGCACTCACCTAAACCACATTATGTGCTGTGGTACATCCACATTGTATTTGTTGTATATATTTGTACTGTCTCCTTTTAATTTATTTGTTTATCCAGCACTAAGGATCAATCCCAGAGTCTAGTGCCTGCTAGGCAATCATTCTACAATTGACCTATACCCTGAGTCCTGTATTTATATTGTCACTGAATGAAGAATTGAAAAGGGATAAATAAAAGGACTGTTTCACCAAATGTAATGTGTGAGATTTCTTTATATCTTGATTCAAGCAAAATCAACAAGGAAGATATCATAATGAAACTCAAATGCCAAATGTCAGTTTTTCACATGTAGTACTTGTTTCATTGATTTTTCAGAATGACCTTTTTCTCTATAGACACAAGTTGATTGTCATCATGCAGGCCCAAGGCGGTGATGCTGGCTAGGAGTAACTGCTAATGCTTCTCCCAGGCAGGGGTAGACACACAAACACACAGGAATAGCCAGCAGAGGCAGCTGGAGCTCCAGTAACATGGGGACTGGAGACCCAGAAAGCCTTGGCGCAGACCTGGGCCTGCCACTGCTACTGAAGACAGAAACACAGGACTTGGGCAAGCCACTTGGCCCACTAAACCTGTTTTTTTTTTCTATGAAAAACGAGTAGCATCCCTCCAGTGGGAGCTCACACGATGCCACACAGACCCTTTAAAGTCCTGGAACATAGAAAGTGGTCAAGCACCAATAGTGAAGGTGGTGACCCAGAGCTGAGGAGGCAAAGCAGAAGGGCCCATAGCTCAGAGCCACTGCAGGCACAGCACTGCTGCTCTTCATGGAGCCCAGCTCTGGCCTGGATGGGAGCAGAATTGACCCTGCTGGAGGGTCAGAAATCTGTGACTGGGGCAGAATACTAGGAATGCTTATTAAAAATAATAGTATGGGGGACCTAAACAAAGACGCTTATGGAACTTCCATCAGAAATCGGCAAACTCTTTCTATGAATGATCAGACAGATTTAGCCAGCTTTCCGAACGACCAGATGTGTCCCTCACTTGAACTCTGCCACTGAAACATGAAAGCAAATGTGAGCCAGCGGTAAAAACCTAGGATTCTAATAAAGCCGTATTTCAAAAACCAGGCGGCAGGTTTGATTTGACCCATTCATGCAATAACACTGGGCAAAAAAGTGACTGTGAAAATAACGATTAAGCTAATAGAAGACAAGAAAGAAAAAGATAACAGAGCAGAGTGTATCAATAGTTACACGATAGGCTTAAGTCAAACTTGAATCTAAAAGCACATTAAAACCATATTACTAGGGGCTGGGGATTTAGCTCAGCGGCATAAGCACTGCCTTGCAAGCAGGCAGCCGTGAGTTCGATCCCCGATACCGGTAAAAAGACAAAAAAAAAAAAAAAAAAAAAAACCAAAAAACATATTACTAATTGAAAAGCAGAGATTATCACAATGGATCAAAAAAAAATCCCTGCAATATCAACTATTCTGCAACATGAAATACTTTATGTGTAACTTTTACCTTAAACCCTTTATTTGAAACGGTTTTAGTGTTAGGCAATGCTACAATGAGCTTCTAACAGTACCTGTGACCACAAATAAAACACAAAGAACTCAAAGTAAGACACTGATATTTGCACAGTATTACTACATAAAAGAATTCATGAGGGTTTCATCTGTTCGCCCATTAATGACCTTTTCCTATTCCAGAGCCAACCTGGGACCCCACATATCTTTACTTGTGAGGTTCCCTAAACCTCCCCCAAGCGCTAACTCTTCTTTCCTCATCTTTGGATAGAGCATCTGTCGGTCTGTTTGCTTTCTTTAGAACTGTGATGGATGGCCCACAGGACCTCTGTGACCTAAAGAAAGAGCACTGGGTGATAATGCTCAAGTGTGCAGCCAGAGAGCAGGGGTCGCGCGGCTCTGGAGTTACCTTCTCCATGTCGCTCGGGATGAGTTCCTCGGAGGAAGCCTGGAGGGCATCGGCTCGCTGAAAAGTCCACCGCAGCGTAACACGCTTGTGTCAGCACCATCTCGAAAGAAAAGAACGCAAAGCCACCTAGAAATCTTTTTTGTGCACACAGCAAATATACTTGTTCAGTCTTTCTTTGTCGGTCTTCCACGTGGCCCTTGCCTGCACCATCTGATGATGTCACTGTCTGCGCCGTGGCGACGCAACAGCTCCAGTGCGCCTGCGCAGCGTCATTATTCTGGGGGTCTTAGGGGGCGGGACCACTGCTGCTGTCTTCCCAGATTTAGACTCTGGGTGGCGCCAGCCTCTCACACATCTCTTGTTGAGACCCCAAACTTAAGTGAATAGGAAAAATGTGGCACAGATACACAGTTCCAGATGTGGCTCTGGTGGCACAAGTCTGGGATCCCAGCCATTGCGGGGGCTGTGAAGCAGGAGCAGAGTATGCTTGAGGCTGGCCTGGACTATATAATGAGACACTCTGAAAACACAAACAAACAACCAGCACATACACAAACCTGAACAAAAACATGCTGCAGTGGAGGCAGGTGTGGGGCGTGGGAGAGCGCCAGGGGTTCAGCACTTGCATAGCATAAGCAAGGCTTTGCTTTTCATCTTCAGTGCTACTAAAACACAAACAAAATAACTAGCAAAAGGCAATGAGATTTATCACAGTGGACTGCAAATCTGTCTCTATATTGTGTGCTTTGTCATTTCTAACTTGAGTGCTTCTGAGGAGGCCCCAGAGTGTGTGTACATCAGAAGAATGAAGTGTGGTAAACTCTCCCCTCTCCCTGAGTTTTTGCATGATGTACATGCAGCTGAATAAGCCTGGACATTTAGCACAGAGAATGACTCCTCTTAATTCCTAAAGCTTGGATTTATTTGAATCCATGTTTGTTTCAAGGTGCAATGTATAGAAAGTAATTAAGTTAAATTCATTTGTAAAGCTAAAAGCACTTTTGTTTGCAAAAAAATTTACTTAATAGGCTTTTCTCTTTTTCTAAACACTCAGTATTTTCTTAGCAGCCAGGTTATCCTGTGTGAGCTACTGGCAGCCTTTTCAGCACCAGCCCACACAAGGCACACAACCATGTTCTCATGCTGCCCACACAGAGGGGTCAAACACCTGGATTTCAATTTTAGGATAGAGGGAAGCACAAAGAGAAAACACCACAAGTTTGCAGAGCACAACATTAGGCTACACAAGTGAATTAAGGGTGATACATAGTGGTTTCATATTTTCACAGACAACACCAAATGTTAGAAGAGAAATGACGAAAGCAATCAAAATTCAGTAGTTTTTCTGGAAAACTGATTTTCAATTTAAGATCCACACTTACCTAAATTGTCTACCCAACTGAACAAAAGGCACTTTCCTGCACAAAATGGTTTTGTGATTCCCTGTCTTGTGTGTTTCATATCTCAGGAAACACTGAAGTCTATGTTCTACTGAAGCTAAAAGTGCACCAGGGAGAAGAAGCACCACCAAGAGCAGGTCCAACACACAAAGAGGGCAAGAAAACCCAAGGACAATTCCTGCTTCCCAGTCATAGAGAACAAGCAGGTGAAATCTGAAAGATTCAAAAATTGTCTGTGAGTGTATTAAGTCAGAGTTAACTAGAGAAACAGATATAACACAAGATACAAAACAGTACAAGAAATTACAAGAATGGCTTACAATGATCAGCCACAACATTGAATAAGGAAGCATGCAAAAGATGTCTGCACAGCAGAAGTTTAAGGGTCTAGCCCATGGTCTGGAGCTTACTGCTGTGTCCCATGCAAGTCTGTATCAGGAGGCTGATGCCTCTATGATGGAGCACAGAAGAATCAACGATGGAGGTGGAAGACTCTATGACAAGGCTGGGGAGTCCTAGGCTGAGCCAAACAGAAGCCAGGAGATGATGATGTCTGAGCTGAAAAATGAAGACTGGAACTCCTCCTAGAAGCAGCAACCAGTCTCTCCTCATTTGCCTATTTTATGTATGCAGGATGTTATAAACTAGGGACCCTGACCCCTGCTGAATCACATAGTTATTAAGTTCCAAACTTTTCAAATGCTGAAACACTTGTGAAGCCTCTAGACTTCTCAAGTTGACATTGAGTATAAACCATAACAAGTGAGGAAGGTGGAGCGCCAGGTATCTGCAGTCGCCCACAAATGTTATTGGATCATATGTTTCATCAGTGACCATCAGGGCCTTCAAAGGTGCTAATGATCAGCTGAGACCAAACACTGGGGCCATAAGTTATGACAACCCATATGACAAGAATGTCGATGCTGAAGTTGGATATTTTGTTTTCCTTGATCTTCACAGGCTATATATGACAATAAAATGCAAAGCTGGATTGCTTCCTTTTTTCTGAGAAGCACAGTCCCTGCTTCTTCTGAGAGAAGAATAAGTCAGGCATATCCTTGACTCCTGCAGAGCACCAAGTGTCCAGTGTGTGTACATAGAATGGATGTCAAAGTATCAAGTCTGCAGAAACTGGAAACAGTCACTGTGAGGACTTAGCTCAACTGTCACCTGCCAGTGAAGGCGTCCTTGGCTAGGACGCCTTTAATGACAGCCACTCCCACCCCAGTTGTCCCTCAGCCTGGCCCACCTCAGTGCACTCATGGATCCAGTTCCTGTCTGCAGTTGTCAGTTTCTGCTGTGGCTCCCATCTCTCCTAGAGAAAACATCCTCAACCCGGCCCCAAACCCTGTGAGATCTGGCTGGGGCCCTTGCCACCCCAGTCTTCCCATGAATCCCACCCTGAGCACAGTGCTGAGGGCTCCACTTCCCCTGCTGTTTCACCTCTGGCCACAAACTGACCTGTCCTCTTCCCAGAACACATAGGGAGAGGCTGGCAATTACACATGGGGACACTGAGGATACACAGTACATTTTTGCTTCTGCAAAAATGAGTGCTATCCCAAAGGAGAGAGCTAACAAGGTCTCTCCAGGTGCCCAGCACACAGGCTACAGCTACAGCTAAACAACCACAGGGGCACAGAACCTCCCCGGTATCCCCCACTGTGCATGTGGGTCCAAGTCAGGACCTCCTCACTACCTACTGGGTAGATTCCCACTCACTTACTAATTCATTCACTATCTATTTACCTCCTATTGGGGCTGGTTCCTAGCCAGTGACGACTCAGGGGCTAAAGTTCTTCACAAGTCACCTCATCTGTGCATTTCCCACAGCTTCCACCTGCAAAGAGGGCAAAATTAAATTACATGGGGGCCCTCAGTTGCTGGGTATGCTGGTGCCCACCTGGAATCCCAGCACTCGGGAGGCTGAGGTAGGGAGAGTTTAAGGCCAGCCTGGGCTGCATAGTGAGACCCTGCCTTAAAAAATAAAAGATAAAATAAAAAGGAACCTCTCAGTTTTTTAAATCATTACAGTACTAAACTTCATAGCCTAATAACAGAGAAAACACATTTTCAGGTACACAGAGCAAAATATTTATGAAAACCAACTACATGCTAATGTACAAAAAAAGTAATAAATTCCATGCTGTCAAGTTCACACAAACATATTGTTTGCACTGTGCTGTAAAACTATAAATTAACTTGAAAGATGAAATATCCTCTCAGCCTGGATATGCTACTCAAGTCTAAATGACTGCCATGTCAAAATACTAATATTATCAAAAAATGCAGAATATGCCTAAAAGTTGTAATAGTGTACATTGCAATCCCTAGTTAATCACACACACAAAATAATAGCAAATGATAAGGAAAAATTGTTGAAATATGTGAAACTTTGAAATGATGTTACTTTGGAAAACTTCATTCCATTAAATTTGAAATCCTAGAAGAAGTTGATAATAGACCAAAATGTCCCTGGGAGACAAAGGTCAAACAGCAGCATATTTCAGGAATACAAGAATGATTTATGAGAAGAAATCTATTGAAATTATCAATATGAAAAATCAAAACACAAAAGTCAATAGCATTATTGTATGCAAAAATGAATTCACTAGAAAATAAATTAAGAAAAAATACCATTGGCAGTAAATTCAAGAAAAATTTAACATGTATTTAATCTATGAAAGGAAGTAAAAGGCCTCTACAATCATAACCCCAATGCTATGAAAAAGAATCAAAGAGAACATCATAAAAAGGAAGGATATCCCCTGTTTTGGACAGGCAGAATGAATTTTGCTGAATTGGAAATATTACCAAAACTGATCTGTAGGTAATACAGTCGCAGACACACTGCATCTTCCACGGAACTAGTGAAACCATCTCACAAGTCAATTGAAACAGAAGAGACCTGGAGGAGTAAAAATAGTCCCAGACAGCAACTTCAAAGCAGGAGACAGCACAATCCAAGATTTCAAGTTACATTACAGAGCCACAGTGATTAAAAACAGCGTGGAACTGGCACAAAACAGGACACACCAAATCAGTGGGACCGAATGCAGGGAGCAGGGGTACCCCAGGCACATTCAGCCAGAAGCTTTGACCAAAAAGCTCAAAACCAGATTAACTCAGTGGAGGAAACAGGAGTAAATTCCATACAGTTGTGCCTTCTCCTGTATGAGTAACTAAGTCCAGGAATAAATACAATAAAATGGACAGAGGAAAGGAAACTACAAGGTAGTCTTCTAAAGAAGGAAAATTGGATGAAAGGAAGGTGAAAAGAATGGGGGGTCATTGAATTTAGGATGATAAAGATGTGTTAAATATATTTAAAAATTTTTCCCCAGAAGCTCATTATGACTTGTTACTAATGTGATGTCATACATACATTCCATACAATGCAGGGAAAAGGCATGAGTGAGGACAGGTTAGATTAGAATGCGTCCCCCAGATTCCTATTCTGGAGCTGATTTTCCAATGCAATAGTGTTAAGAGGAGAGGGCTTCCAGAGAAAGAGGTCTCATGGCTCCGATGAAGGTGTTCATGAAATAGTTTTGGGGAGTTGGTTTGCCTCCTTCCACTCCTTCTGCAGTGTTAACAGACAGCCTTCCTCCTCCTACAGCACATAGCAAAAAGCCACCACCCAGGAAGTAGAGGACTGGGCCCCACCAAACTCAGAGCCTGCCAGGTCCTTGATTCTAGGGGTCTTCTGATTCTGACCAGTAAAACTCTGTTTTGTATAAATCGCCAAGCTCACACAGTTTGTTACAGTAGCACTACCATCTTTATTTGTATTTAATGCTTTATTAGAGGTTCCTGCTAGTATCATATGGCTACAAA